GAAATATTATTTGATATGAGTAAGTTGCATATCTCTAAATTTGATGTTTGGAAATAAAATACATCTTGTATTTTGAGGAAGTTCTTCAAACTATAAGATGACAACAGATCATTGATACTATGCTGTAGTAGTGGAGAAACAAAAAAAACTAAATCAAACTTTTGCTTTTCTAATTATAGAGGAGCAGATTTTGGTAGGGGTACTATTATGAGACATAAATGCTGGTGAGAAATGTTTCTGTAGCCTCTGATTTCTTGTCAGTTCTATCTCAAGTTTGATGGTAAATGCGATGTATTTGGTCTTCTGGTTTTGATTTTGTGCTTTTATTTTGTCTTTCTAATTCTGCTTTAGCAGAGTTTCTGATACACCATATTTTAAACTCAAGGAAGGGTATGTAAATATGTTATGGTATCTATTGTAGGTCAGGAAACACATTAGGAACTTTGACATTACTGTGTTTAGTCAGAATGAGGAATACAGATTATTTGTTCATGTTTTTAAAGACCGTTTATGGCTACTAAGTTAACATATGCCAAATTTGTTTTTAAAATAATTCTGCAACTTCGTATAATTTATTTGAAAGACCTAGGATTTTATTCCATCATTCATTTGTTCATTCATTTAACCAGTATTTAATGAATGCTTACCATGTACCAGACGTTTTTCTGTCTGCTGGGGTACCGTGGTAAACAAGACAGGCAAAAGCATATCTTCTTGGAGCTTATGTTCTTGTAGTCCATTTTCGTTCCGCTCATTAGATTTGTGTGCAGTGCTAGTGAGGCTGGGCAGGCTTTACTGGCTCTGGGATTGCTTCTTCGCCAGGGACTGGGTTGGTTGCAGCATTCTCTCCAGGCTCAGTTCTGCCTGGTCTGCTCTCAACATGTTGCCTTTACAGAGTCCAGATTGCTCATCTATTGTTTAAAATACAGATTCAGCAAGTAGACTTCCTTAAACAAGAATGTAATCTTATGTTTTCAGCAATGGGAGAATAAGTTGAGCTATTTCGTTTTATTTTGCACCAGCTTGCGTATCATGTATTAAATCTCCATTTGGCATTCCGGAATCGTAACTTTTTATAGACTATAGCTTTAAGGATATTTTCTTTTGTCAGTGAGGTATTAATTAGTCTCTACACACAAATGATTAAAAAATACTTTTATGTGGTGACCAAATCATTATGAATTTGGAGGATAAATAAATAAGTATTTGTATTTTTAAAACAAACTTCCTTGATTTAATAAGTATATGAAAAAACTTTGGTGTCTCATCTCTAAACACTTATTTTCTGAATTTGATTTGAATCTTTAGGGCTAATTTTAGCAGTTTGTGAATGAAAGATGAAAAGTTTGGATCATGTATTTTATGATATTGGAAACTTGGGAAATGACATAATGGTCATTTTACTCTGGGTCACAGTATCTAAAAGATCGACCAGTACTCTTGAAACTAACACAGTGTTATATATCAGCTGTATCTTAATTAAAAAAAAAAAGACTGACAAAGTCCTGGTTAATGGCTTTCTTTAATTTAGTAATATTTTTGACACAATAAAGTTTTATGGTTAAAAAAAGATACAGGTATTTGAATTTATTGAAATGGTAAAAAGAATGTTGCAAAAGTTAAAAAACTTCCAAACCAAAAGCATAGCAAATGTCTAGTTTCTAAAACAGCTGCTTGCTGTGATGAAAAAAGAAAAATGTCTGGCTTGTGTAATTTTGAAGTACTTTTTATTTACCAAACATTGTTGAAAGTGAGCCAATTTATAATATATGATGTTTCGTACTCTGCCCCTCTTTCCCAACCATTGTCATGTTTCTGTGGATCTTTAGGATAAACTTGTGAGAAAAGTTGGGTAGGTGCTATCCTCATTTTATAGACAAGGAAACCGAGACCTACCATTGTGATTTTACTGAGGAAATGCGGCTTAAGCCTTAGAGCTGAGACTAGAAGGACCCTTGAGATGTCTTTCTTAACTGCTGTGTAAATCACTTGATTTTTCATACTTCTTTTTGCTGGTGTAATATCCAAATATAAATTATTTTTTCCCACTTTTTAACTTTATTTTTACAACTTTAGGTTTACAGAAAAGTTGCAAGAATGATAAAGAACTTTTGTGTACACTTCATCCTGATTCCTCTAATTACTTAATCATATCTGCTTTCTTAATTCTTTCTTTACATGCATATGAACATACGTAGACTTTTTTTCCTGAACATTTGGAGAGTAAATTGCAGTTAATGATGCCTTTTACTTCCAAATGTAACTGTGTTTTCTGAAAACAAGGACATTCTCTTGTGTAACCATAGTACAATTATCGAAATCAAGAAATTGATTTTGCTATAATGCATTTGTCTGCAGACCTCATTCAGATTTCACTCATTGTACCCATAACGTCCTGAATAGAAAGAGTAAATCCTGCATTACACCTTGTGTTCACTTGTCTTGTCTCGCTAGTGTCCTTTAATTGGAGCAGTTGATTATTACTCTTTGTCTTTTATGACCTTTGATGATTGATGAGAATAGGCCAATTATTTTTAGAATTCCCTCAATATGGATTTGTCTGCTGTTGCTTCATGATTAGTTTCAGGTTATGTGTTTTTGGCAGGAATAATCCAGAAGTGATATTGTGTTCTTAGGACGCACATGGTGTTTATTTATCCCATTAATTGGAATGTTAATTTTTTTCTACAAAGTTTCTCCATTGTAAAATTACTATTTTTCCCTTTGTAACAAGTATCTTATGGGAGGATATTTTTGAAACTATGTATAGCTTGTTGTTACTCATCAAACTTTCACTTTTTTTTTTTTTTAGCATCCAGTTAATTCTTGCTTAAATCAGACTAAGATGGTTGTCAGATGGTGGTTTTCTGAGTCTTTTGTTTATTTATTTATTACTGGTATTCTGTAAGAGCTTTTCCTTCTCTCCATTTATATATTTATGCATTATCAGTATGAACTCAAGGATTCTTTTTTATTCATTGGGGTCTTTTGATGTCTGCACTCCTTCAGGATGTCTCCTGTGTCCTTTTGACATGTGCTTGTCTTTTTGTGTGTGTGTGTGCTTGTCATTTTCTGAGTACTCACTTTCTTGTATTAAGATATTCCCATCCCAGCTCTGGAATCACTCTTTTTTTCCAAAGAACCCTGCTTTCTTCTAGTGGTTATCTACTAGCAGATTGAGCTAGAAATTTTTTGTATGTGTGAACATGCTTATATGTACATATACACAATTTTTAAAATCATTAAAAAAATTTTTTTTTGATTTTTGATAGAGAAGGTAAGTAGGTTTATTTATTTATTTTAATGTAGGTACTGGGAATTGAACCCAGGACCTCATGCATGTTAAGAATACGCTCTATCACTGAGCTATACCCTTCCCCTCCATACACAATTTTTAATGTTTTTTTTTTTTTTTACCTATCTACCTATCTAAAAGCTATGGGTTCATCCTGATATCCCAGTAGAGTCCAGTACTGTAGGGTTCATTCTAGCCTTCCTGTTTCCAAACCTATAGTTCCTTTCTCTGACAGTGACAAAAGTAGTTCCCGTTATCTGCAATATATTTACTTATGGTTGGATCAGTCCTAAAATACACAGAAAGTAGTTTCAGAATTTCTAAGCCATATGTCTGTGAAAACAAACCTATTAACTAGAATTATTATAGTTGTTTATAGTTCATTATTTGTTTAGCCTGAGGTTATATAGTCAAAATGCTGTGTTCAAACATTGCTTGTTTTTTTTTGCCCTTAATATAGTTTTGCTATTCCTTTGAAATATATTTAGGTTCATTTTTTCCCCCTGTTTGTATTCCATTTTGCTTTTTCCTCCATCCATTTTTGTTATTTTTTTAAATATGTAAAATATTAAACATAAATTAACTATAATCCTCCTCACTAGCTTGCTTCAGCATTATAACCACTTATGCTCTGGTGGGGGGAAAAAAACAAAAAACCATTTCCTTAACATTCTTCAAATCAAATGAGCAAAATTTAGAGGTTTAGATATGGAGAAGATCTTAGGTAAAAGCGCATATTCTGTGTTCCTAATAGTGCAGATTCAATTCATAGGCAAAAGTGTGTATTCAAAAAACTTTTCATTCTGTTTTGAATGAAATATCCATTTACAAGGGCCAGGTGGTAAATATTAGGTTTTGTAGGCCTCTTAAGGTCTCTTTTACATAATCTTGTTGGTTTTCCACAATTCTTTTAAAATGTAAAATCATTCTTGACTTGAGGGCCTACAAAAATAGGCCTTGCGCCATACTTTCCTGGCCATGCTGCAGTCTGAAACCTGAGAACTTGATTAATGGCATACTACTTAGAAATCATAATTATAAGTGAACATGAAGATACGTTCCTTATAGGCTTTATAAGCCTTATTTTAACATTAAAAACAAATGAAAAACTTAAAAGCCTGCCTTAGTGAAAACATTTATTCGACATGTTTTTTGAGCACCTACCACCACGTGTAGATGTTCAGATGCTAGTCTAGGCTCTAGAGAAAAACAGGGGGCCCTCCTCCCAAATCTCCGCCCTCGTGGACTTTACATTCAGTTTTTGCATGTGGGTGTGTACTGGAAATACATGTTTCTTACTTTTTTTTAATTTTGTGGGGAGGCAATTAGGTTTGTTTGTTTATTTATTGGAGGTACTGGGGACTGAGCTTAGGACCTCATGCACACTAAGCACGAGCTCTACCTCCGAGCTGTACACTGCCCCCCGCATGTTTCTTTTTTTTTCCATAGTTGGTGACATTTGATCTACTAAAAGTTTTTTTTGTATTAATTGCTTCAGAACAAGCATTCTTTCTTAAAAACTTGATTTAAAAAATGCAGCAAAGGGGGCAAACTTTTAAAGACCTGGCTCATTTCTTCCCATCTCCCATTCATGATACTTTCATTGTGTAGCTTCACTAATTCACTGAAGGAAGAGAAGTAAAACCTCATTAATTGGATGCAGAAGCCAGACTTATGTTCTACAATATACATGTACTTATCTCTAAAATGTACTGGTCAAGAATGTACATAGCAGTAATTCAGCTAATCTTCTTTTACTGCTTTAATGAATAAATAGGACTACCCAAAGTTAAGGACCACCATGAAAGTAGTTGCTTGTGTAGGTTTCTTGAAATAGGAAAAAGGTCTCCTAATAATGCTAATACTCGTTTACTGGATAAAAGCTCAAAAATGATGTGCAGGCTGTCTTGTGCCTGGTTAAGTAGCAGCACCTTTGAGTAAACATCATCAAAATGAGTTTTTACCATGTTATGTTTGTTGCTGAAATGACTCATCTCTTTGAATAGTTTTTTTAATAAGCATTTAATAAACCAGTAAGCATTTTTTAAAAATGCTTTATTGAGATATGAATGACTGCTTTTGTAGGGATTATTAACATATTTGGCTTTTTTTTTTTAACACCAAGAAAAGTGGTTTTTATTTTTATAGCAGTTCCTCTTATTGGGCAGAATTTTCCAAATTCTTCCCATTCTATCAGGGAACTTGGAACCCTTTTTAGAGGCCTATCTCTGCTTTGGTGACAGTTACAAGAACAAGACATATGACCAACTCAGCTGAAGAGGATTGATATCCTAAAGGAGCCGGCCAGAGGCTGCCCACATCATTCTTAGTACAAAATTTCCTAATTCAGTGTTTTGATTTACTTGCAAAATCAAAGGATTACTATCTCAGACCTCTGAGAACTGTAACAATGAGTGATTCCAAATAATTCTATGAGTGCTTCCTTTATTTTGCTAGTCCTTCAAGATTGTGAGACAATCTTTTCATCCTATTTTAATTACTGTACAGTTTTCAAATTGCTAGAATGTGATATTAGCCCATGGAGGTTTTAATGTAATCACAGCTATTGGTTGGAAAGAATGCTAGAAAAGTAGTTGCTGGCCCTTTGAACTTTGCTATTTATGCATGTTTGCCGTCCATCAGGCATTGTACTCTGCAGGGTGGTTACCAGTGCTAATCAGATACCTTCATCCTTTTTCTCATATTTTAATAAGGGTGGGGTTGGGAATGGATTACCACAAAGAGTAGGAAGGTCATGTGTTGGAGACTATGATGAAGTACTGATGTAGACTGTGCACTGTTCTGATTATATCATGTGTACACCGTATGAGGGAGGAGACATTGTGTGAGGCAGAGAATAAAGATCATTTTCAAGGACAGGGCAACTTTGGGTAAGGCATGGGGTTGGTTAGAGTGCTGGAGGGTTAGGCAAGGATCATCTGATGAAGGGTCTTTGTACCTATGCACAAGACCTCACTTTTAATCAAAATGGAATGGAGACTGAGGGTTTTAAATAAAAGCATAAGTTCTAAATTTGTGTTTTAGAGAGATTAGTATCTTTGTGGAACAGGGCAGGGCAACAGAAGGATGAGATTGGGGGAAGGAAGGTTAAATTAATACAGAGAAGATGAGCTCAACTACAGTAATAATGGGGAGAAGACAACTAGATGAATACAAAATAAATTTAATAATAGGGAGCTGGACATAAAGGAGAGGGTGGTGCCAGGGCTTCGGCTAAGTGACAAGGTAGATAAAATGATGTGGCACCAGTCACTTAGTAGGGCAAACAGGAGGAGCCAGAAACTTGAGGGGAACAATAATTTGGTGGGTTGGGTTGGATTGGATGAGGGATCATTTTTCCATCTAGAATAAAAGAGTATGGAAGGAGGCTTGAAATCACCCATATCTCAACCACCCAAAGACACTGTTACTGATTTGTTGAATATAGTAGTAGCTTCATACACTGTGAAGATTTGGCGTCTAGGGGACATCAAGGTGGAAATAACCGGCTGGATATGGATCAGGCACTTGGAGAGAATAGGCTAATTATGGAGATTTGGAAAGGAGGGAGATGATTTAGAGAAAGAGGAGAAAAAGGCTTAGAGCAAAAATCTTGTAGAATCTTTCATCTTCCTCAGTTTGGTTGTTGTTTTAGATAAATGTATTTGTGAATATAAGGACATTTTAAAGCAACTTTGCTTGGAATTTGCTTCATTTTTAAATTCTGCTTATACAATTAGATGTTCTTAAATGCAATTAAAATTTAAGTAGTAAGTTTGAATAGGTCTCTGAATAAAACTGAAGATTAAATTGTTTAATGAAATTTTATTAAAATTTTTAACATTGAGCCTACTCATTTCATTGAGCACTTCACTAGCTCCTCTTAGTCATATAATTCTTTATCTGAACTCTGTCTATAGTAACCAATTTATTGTAAACATGGAATTGTGGTGAATTTGAAGTCTGTAGTAGAAATAAAACCCATATTTATTTGAGAAACTCCAGCTAATATAGTTAGTAATGAAGAGGATTTACAAATGAATTATTCATTCTCTTGTTTTCGTTTTGGACATTTCACTATTATGAAGTTGCTTACCGAAATTATTTAGTACTTCTAAAATTAAGAGGAGGTAAAATTCACATCTTTTTATTTTGATGTTACAAAAGATATAGAAAAGAACTGAAATTAAAGGAAGGTGGGTTGTTTGGATCTCAGGGAAAATTTAAACTGAAGAGTTATTTTTATATATGTACCTGTTTATTTATATTTACATATTTTGTTTTCTCCTATGGAGAATCATTTCTGTTCTCTTTGATATTAGAATGGGGTAGCCAAAGACCATTACAGTCACGTTATGAATTTGTAGTTATATGAGTGGGTTCCTTGTGTATTTCCTTGTTGATGCTTAAACTTGATTTCCAGAAATTACAAATTTTAGAACTGAAAGGGTTGTGATAGTGTATCATTTAACAGGCACGTTTTATGGATGAAGAATCAAGGCCCCAAGATGATAAAACTTGTTAAGAATCACAGTTTATCGGAGGCACACAGTTAGCGGCCAAATTAGAAGAAATTTCTGCTCTCTGTGTCTCAGTTCATTGTTTCTACTTTTTCAGTATGATTTTTTGAGTGAGATTTCGTAGTGTTTATGTGTGTTGTAGGTGGAGGAGGAGTGGGAATTGGTGATTCTTTGTAAATTATTAGCACTTTGTGCTAACCCTAGACCAGAATAAGGAACTGACTCCTGGACTGCTGCTTTCCTGCTCCCAAAGCAGGGCGCCGTAGGGGACGTGCATTCCTTGGCAAGGGAGTATTACACAGTAACGCCCACTTAGCCAGCAGCTTTCTAGCAACCCAGCCCTCTGTGGAAAAGTAAAAAAAGGCCTTTGAGTATCGTATCTTGTACTTTCCTTGTAGGAGGAGGGGTACGGTTACTTTACAAGCCTGTATCCTTAGCATGTTTCTCATTTTTATTTTAATAATGATGGCTCCTTGTAACTGCTTTCTTTAGACTGCTGTTTAGAAAGCTCCTGGTCCATGTATTTTAAAGCATGACAAGGCTACAAAATTAATATGGATGATTTCAGAGTAAGTTGTGATAGGTTACAGGTGGCAAGGAGGGAGATAGTTTTACCATTTAAAATGTGATTATAAAATTCTCTTAGGTATTAGCCCTAATTAATAAGTTTTCTAATTAATTTTTCTTAGCTTCAATTTACTCATTTTAAAAATAGGGATAATGATACCTTCCCTGATTACCTGTCTGAATTGGTTCAAATATTTAAACTATTGGCTGGTTTGGAATTATTCAAAAAAGTTGGTTTAAATAAAATTTTAAATATTCAGAGAAGTTGGTTTGAATATATGAAGTTGTAAGATAATTTTATAAAGTCTTGGAAAGGTAAAGAATGCTAGTTCTAATGGTCCTAGTTTTATAGCGATAACTAAAGAATACTAAGAAAAGTAGTTTTCTTTTTTAAAGCTGCAACTGGGAACATTTAGTGTCATTGTGGATATCTTTGTTGCCCTGGAAAGTATTTTCATATTATAACATTTTAATAATGGGTAAAAATTTTGGAGAATATTAGCTATAAAGAAAGTGCTAGATTATATTCAGCATATTTTCCAAGTTGGAGGACTAGTCGAACAAAACTTTTGAGTAGCAGGCAGTAACAAAATACAGACCATGATATAGTTTGGACCAGTATTATTGGTCATCACTGATAAGAATTTCAGTATTGTACTAAATCCAGCACGGCTTTTAGGAGAATCAGTTTTAAAGTTATTAGGAGTTTAATTTTGCACCAGAATGTATTTAATATATGTGTATTACATATGTACATGTACACATTTATGTTTCTTGTATATGTATACACACATACAGATGCAAATAGAAAATTCTGAAAAGTAGCTTACCAAGCCTCTTAGCCGTGATTATCTCTTGAGAGAGCAATAGGTGAATAGCGTGCAATGAATGAAGGTTTTCAATATTTGGAATTTTTCACAATATTACCTTGTTAGTTTTGTGATATTTTCCCCAAACTCAAAATACTGTGTGTCTTAGCTTTTGGGAGAAAGATGGTGTTGATGTGTTTTAGTGATATTTGAATTAAATCCTTTAGAGAAAGTGAGCCACCTTGCTAAGGGTTGGAAGACTTAAAACTTACTGCTTAAATTTCATGTTTAAATGAAACTTATTTAGCTGTTGTTTAAGCAGTAGACGTATGAGCTTCAGGATCTGTTGTCTTGAACTCCCCGGGGTTACTAGTTAGGTTGACGCTGTCACTCTGTGTGTCTCCACAGTCGTCACCGTCTTAAACTGTGACTCAGTTGTGTGTGCTTAGTTGGATGCTGGCTGATGGGCTTTGCTTTGTTTTGGAAACTGTTGGGATAGCCAGAAGAACTGGGTTTGAGACATGGTTCTGTAGCTTAATACCAGTTTGAATGTAGTTAGGTTATTTACCCAAAGTTTATGTATCTATAAAATGACAGTAATAAATACCCATCTTATTGGGCCATTTCTGAAAGTAAAAGTGATAGAGCTTGTGTGATACTGCTTAATAGGTGACAGAGTGCCATGCAGATGAGAAGTAGTACTTATTTTTATTTTTCTCCTTTATTGTGCTATTGCCTGTCTCTTTTTTAAATCTTTTCATTTGTTGCTCTTTTTCCTGAAATGATTTTACCCTAAGGTCTGGTAGGCTTTTGGTCTGCTTACTCTTCCTCTGATATTTAGTCTTCAATATTTATTCTTCATTTCTTCACCTGTTACCTTTTC